TTACAATAGCCAAGACATGGAAGTAACCTAAATGTCCATCGACAGATAAATAGATAAAGAAGATGTGGGAGATATATAGACACACACAATGGAATATTACTCAGTCATAAAAAAGAATGAAATAATGCCATTTGCAGCAACATGGATGGACCTAGAGATTATCATACTGGGTGAAGTAAGTCAGACAGAGAAAAACAAATATCATATGATATCACATACATGTGGAATCTTAAAAATGATACAAATGAGCTTATTTATAAAACAGAAAGAGACTCACAGACATAGAAGACAAATTTATGGTTACCAAAGGGGAAAGGGGGAGCAGAGGGATAAATTAGGAGTTTGGGATTAGAAGATACAAACTATTATATATAAAATAGATAAACAACAAGGTCCTACTGTATAGCATAGGGAACTACATTCAATATCTTATAAATAACATATAATAAAAAAGAATATAAAAAGAATATATGTAAGTATAACTGAATCACTTTGCTGTATACTAGAAACTAACACAATGTTGTAAATCAATTATACTTCAATTAAAAATTTTTTTTATAAAATTCAGTAAGTCTAATCTAAAAATCGTATGGAAAACAAACTAGACTAGTCAAAACAATTTTTAAAATATAATTAAGTTGCAAGGCTCACTTGATTTCAAAACCATAATGATATGGTAATCAAGTCAGTGTATTATTGGAGAAAGAATACAAATATAGATTAATGGGAAAGTATAAAGAGTCCAGAAATATACCCACACATATAGATAATTGGTTTCTGACAAAGATACCAAAGTAAACAATGGAGAAAAAATACTCATTTCAACAAATGGTGTAGGGGTGATTAGACACCTACATGTGTCAGGGGAGGGAGGGCTCATATATTAAAAAAAAGTACCTCAAAAGAGATCATAGCTCTAAATGCAAAATTCATAACTTTAAAATTTCTAGAATAAAAAATAAGAAAAAAGTCTTTGTGACCCAGGGGTTACAGAAAAATCTCTTAGATATGATACCAAAAGCATAATTCATAAAAGAAATATTTGATAAGTTGGATTTCATTTAATTAAGAATCTCTGTTCTTTAAGGGACATTGTTAAAAGAGTGAAAATTCAAGCCACAAAACTGAGAGAAAATATTTTTCAAGTACATACCTGAAAAGAAACTCATATTCAGAATATAAATGTAACTCTCAAGTCTCAAGAATAAGAAAACAAACAATGCAATAAAAGTGGGCCAAAGATTTGAAGACTTTACCACAGAAGTCATACAGATCACAACTACATGAAGTGCCACTAATTAGGCAGTTCATGTAGTTGTAGCTGTTATTAGTAGTTATTAATAGTAGTAGTAGTTACTAATAGTAGTAGTTAATTTATATTAATAGTATTAAATTATTATCAATGTTATTATTGATATTAATATTAGTAATACTACTAGTAGTGATAGTAGTTACTAATAACTATTAATTATTAGTAGTAGTTATTAGTGCTCTGTGCCACTAGTTATTAGGGAAATGCAAATTAAAGCTAAATGAGATGTTAAAACCTATGAAGGCTCTATGACTTTACCCTACTTACATGTTAACAAGTTTGCCTGCTACAGTTTTATGGACGTTGGCAAAGATTCAAGACTTCTGGGTCAGAGACAAAGGACAGTTTATTACTCACAGCACCTCCAAGTACCCCAAGAGCAATGCAGAGGCAGGCCCAGATATATTCTGTGTATGCAGTGGGTTTGCAAGCAAATTTGCCTAAGTTTTGCCCTGAAGAGAGACATTAACTTCATTGGACTGGACAGCAGACAGATCTTCCCTGTGCTCTGGAGGGAGACACCATCTTTATCTTCTAAAGCTGCCACACAAATACTCTTGAAAAGATAACCCAAAACAGAAGGCTGTCTGTGGCTCTGCTCTGCTCATAGCACATGCAAGAGAACAATGGAGAATTACCTTCCAACATGAGTTATCATTACACCTACGAGAATGGCTAAAAAATAATAATAATAATAATATCACTAAGTGCTGGTAAGGATATGAGTGAGTGGAAATCTCATACATAACTTTTGAAAAAGCAAAATTGTACTCTGGAAAACAGAATTTTTTTTTGAGTTATAGTCAGTTTACAATGTTGTGTCAATTTCCAGTGTAGAGCACAATTTATCAGTTATACATATCATACATATATATATATATTCATTGTCACATTCTTTTTCACTGTGAGCTACCACAAGATCTTGTATATATTTCCCTGTGCTATACAGTATAATCTTGTTTATCTATTCTACATATGCCTGTCAGTATCCACAAATTTTGAACTCCCAGTCTGTCCCTTCCCACCCCACTCCACCTCAGCAACCACAAGTTTGTATTCTATGTCTACGAGTCTGTTTCTGTTTTGTATTTATGTTCATTTGAGCAATCGCATATGGCATTTTTCATTCTCTTTCTGGCTTACTTCACTTAGAATGACATTCTCCAGGGACATCCATGTTGCTGCAAATGGCATTATGTTGCTTTTTATGGCTGAATAGTATTCCATTGTATAAATATACCACATCTTCTTTATCTAGTCATCTGTCGATGAACATTTAGGCTGTTTCCATGTCTTGGCTATTGTAAATAGTGCTGCTGTGAACATTGGGGTGCAGGTGTCTTTTTGAAGTAGGGTTCCTTCTGGATATATGCCCAGGAGTGGGATTCCTGAGCCATATGGTAAGTCTATTCCTAGTCCATACTGTGGAAAACAGAAATTTTTTTATAAAGTAAAACATATACTTTCCATATGACCCAGCAATCCCATTTGTAGGTATTCACCTAGTTGAAATGAAAACATATTCACCCAAAAATCTGTTTTGCAAATGTTTATAGCAGCTTTATTCATATGGCTACAAACTAGAAACAACCCAAGTCTCCCTCAACTGATGAATGGATCAACAAACTGGGTCTTTATGCAGTGGAATACTATTCAGCAATACAAAAGCAAACTACTGGAACACACGACAACATGGAGAAATCTCAAATGCATTATGGTAAGTGAATTATGAAAAAAGCCAAAATGAAAAGGCTACAGACTCATGATTCCATTTACGATATACTGGAAAAGGCAAACAATAGAGAAAGAAAATGTATCAGCAATTCTCAGGAGCTGGAGGTAGGGAAAAGGACTGACTACAAAGGGCCTTGGGGGAATTTGTTGAGGTGGTGGAACTTTTATACTTATCAACGGTGGTGGTGGTTAGAAGACCATGTGTGTTTATCAACACTCACAAAACTGTACACTCAGAAGGATGAATTTCCCTACATGTAAATTATACCTTTAAACAAAGTTGGAGGGGAGAGGAGAGAGTTATATCTGTAAACTCTAGAATCAGACTACGAGAGCTCTGCCTCTTTCTAAATGTGGACCTTGGTATATTCTCGAATTCTAAGCACCAGTTTTCTCAACTGTGAAGTGAGAATAATAACAGTATTTACCTCTTAAATTTGCTAGCTTTCCTTGTTGCTGTTTCATCAGTAGTTATTATTTGATGTACTGTTATATACCTAACACTGCGCCTGACATTGAGGATACGGAAATGAACCTGTGACATGGCTCCTGACTTCCAGAAGGCTACAATATAGTGAATTAACATTTCCTAAATGGATAAATGAACACAATCATTTAATTAATGTTAGATTATTACAACAGTTACAAAAATTAACAAAAGCCAATGGTAAGCACCTATTGAGTCAAATTCCTGTTAATAATTTTAAATATAGTTCAAGAATTAGCAAGAATTTTCTAAATAGGAATAGAAATTTCAAGTCAAAGCTAAGAAATTCTATTGGTAGCCCAGCCATTTCTAGACTTATTTCTGCAGATAATTTTTAAAGACTTCAAATTGCATTTATTTATAGTTTATCGGATTCAGAAGGAATGTTCATTTGTTCTCACCAGTTCATTCTAGCATTTAATATTACTTTAATTTGAGTATCAAGACAGCACTATAAAAAGAACATGAAATTATGTTTCTTCACTTATCAAGACTTCATGTATCTGGATAAAACATTCCTCTAAAAAGATAAAGCTAAGCAGAAATCACTTAAAATGTATGAAGCGACTATGAAGTATTCCCAAAAAGTCTGCTCCCTCCAATCACAGCTGAATTAATGACTCTACCTTTATATTACATCGAAGGTCTGATCATCTGTGTAAGCTACGTAAGCACTACAATCACACATCATATATACACACCCAATACTTCTCTCTGCATATCTTGTACCTCTCTGCCCCTCAATAAGATGGAATATCCTTACTTCAGGCTTAACGCAATAAAAGCATGAAAAATTTACGCCAGAACTTACTATAGCTACTTTTATAGAGTTAATCACATTTTCACCATATTCATTATGCATTTATTGAAATCCTATTAAATGCTCAGCTCTGACAGGATAAAGCTCTACAGGCAGTTTGTTTTAAATGTGTCCTTTCCATTCAAAGCTAAAAGAAAATCAAGCTATTCTTATTCCAAAGATTTCCTATCTACTGTCATCTCACTTCATGTCTCAGTAAAACACTGTGAGAAGTGTTCTTGGAGTGTTATCAACTAAAAATTTTGCAACAAGTATGGCTTTTTTGCACAGGATTTCACACTGAATAATATAGTAACATCTAGAGATTCCTAACCTAGTTTTAAAAAAAAGAGAGAACATTTTAAAAGATATTTTAAACAGCATGACATATGCACAAGGGGCTTCTCAAACAGAACCCACAGACTCATTTTCACCATTTCACTTGCTCAGAACTACTGTTTTGGAATATGGAACCCACCAATACGGATCTTCCAAAGTTTTACATGTTAAAAATATTCCTAAGGATTATATCTCTCATTAAGAAGCCAGTCTGTGAAAAGGTATAAGAGAAAAATAAAAATTCAAATGATCACTAAAACAAGTCAAAATAAAATGAGTAGAAAGGTCCTTTGGACAAACCCAGAGTAAATGATTACTGGCTAGCTTACCTTGCTTTTTTCCATTAATATTTTCTAAAACACCAGAGAGCTGGCTGTCAAAGCCATGTTGAAGGCCACTCCTTTGCTTTTCAAGGTGACATTCTTCCTCAGCAACAGAAGAAAGCACATGTAGTGGCTTTTGGTCATCAAGGGTCTGACTGGGCCACTGGGACCTTAACAAACATGAGTCCTTTGCATGTTGGCTAAGCCTGGGGCTTGAACTTTGGGCAGAGTCCTGCAAATCACTATTACAACAGGAGAAATGGTCCACTTCAAAAAACAAGGAGTTTGTGTCCTCTTGGCTCCAATCATTGCTTTGTTCTTCATCTTCAAAGTAAGTTTCCTGAATCTGAATATCATCTAAGTCCTGGTCTAGCTTGTCACTCAACTTAGAGTCTTTTTTGCTGAAGTTAACCAGCGAAGCAGATAATGTATCTCCTGCTTGCTGGAGAGCTTCATAAACCCGAGATATCCAGGAAGAGAGAGGCTGGAAGAAGTTCTGAACATCCTGAGATGCCATGGCCAACAGCATGGCCGGGCTATCTGGTGTCTACAAGTCCACTTGTTCCGGTCCTCCAGTACTCTGGACTTAATGTGAACTACAGAATAAGCATGATGAGACATTAAATTGGAGGTCTCTTAATGGCTGTGAATAGTTCACTCTCAAAACTTCTCAGCTGAAATAGAGGAAAGAAATACTTACACCTGTTAAAGTTACAACCTCTGGCCCATCACCAAATTCTTACAATCAGTATTGCACAGTATTTGGGGACAGAAAGGGATCATCATTGAAATCTTTATGGCAGCTAAATAAAAATGACTGTGAAAGTCCAGAAGTAGATTATTTCAATGCCTATTGACCTCTGAAGACACATGCAAAACTTCCATTAGCAGTAACAGGCTCTATTCATGCGGACCAAGAGAAGTCTATCACCTTAGACCATCCTTAACAGTGGGAAAAGGATAAATGAATCTTCATTAAGAGGCAGTTAGACATGACATTTCAAAATACACGAAAGGTTGGATGCTTCATCTATGAATCTGCAGATCCTAGAGAGCAGGCTAATAAGCATCTCTGCTTTGTGACACAAAGATTTATCCTTTCAAAGGAAAGGTGTGCCTGGAATTAAAAATCTTTGAACAAATCTTAAAGCAGGACTTTGTATGCATCTTCTAGAAATTAAACCTATTCTTGGGGAACAATCAACCTCTGAAAGACTGAAAGTGGCAAGTGGGTTATGCAGCGTATCAGACACATGACCCAAGCATTCGGAAGTTGCTTTCGTCTGTGTTCCAATTTCCCAAAGATGGCCCTTCACAACCTGCGAGACTGCTGAGAAATACTTCTTCCCACAAGATTTACCGCTGGAAGGAGGCAGCTACAAGAACTCAACAGAGCAGCAGGACACAATGAAGACTCAGGATAAATATCTATACTTTCACAGATATACATGCATACAAACACATACACATGTACACAGAAGCATATGTGTGTGTATTATGTATGTACATACACATTTTACTGCCTTTACACTGCTCATCTAAAGCCCTGGATCAATGTTATAAATGACAGCAGAGCCTAAATTCACTGCTTGCACTTAATTACACCATCTTTTATAGTAATAGCTTCCTTCTGACCAAATCTATCAGCAATTCTGTAAATTTCACCCCTTCTGACCTCAGACTCCTCCATTTGACATGATTGCCTACATCCTCTTAAACATTTCTCTTTAGATTTCATGACAGCCATTCATAGATGCATTGATTCATTCAATAAACAAATATTGATTAAGGGCCTATTAAGTGCTGGGCACAATGCCAGGTATAAGGTAACCCTGAGGTCTCTGTTCCCATGGAGCCCACATTCCAGTTAAAGGGAAGCTAAGCTCCCTACACTTTCCTTATGCTGAATAATTCATGTGTCTGTCTTTAAGACTCTTCCATGTCTTCTCATCAACTACATATATGCAATCATTCATTATCCTATAGTTTCTCCTTTTCCTCCTTTACACTCACCAGTTGGGAGAGTTGACCCCATCCATAAGTCTCAACACTTTTTTAAAAAATTCCCAAATATACATCTCCAGCCCTTAGTTCAATCCCTCTTTCCAGGCTTGCATCTCTGATTATCTAAGCCAGTTGTTCTCAAACTTTGCTGTGTCAGAATCACCTGGTGAACGAATAAAGAACACAGAGGAGATAAACAGCAAGGTCCTACTATACAGCACAGGGAACTATATTCAGTATCTTGTAATAGCCTATAATGAAAAATAATAGGAAAAGGAATATATATATGTACGTATCTGTATATATATGTATAGCTGAATCACTATGCTGTACACCAGGAACTAACACAACATTGTAAATCAACTATACTTCAATTTAAAAATTAAAAAAACAAAACAAAACAAAAAACACAGGCTGGTTGAAGGAATAGCATCTGGACCTTCGTATTTTTGTCAGGTTCCCAGGGTGACTGTGACATTCACCAACATTTGAGAAATGCTCATCTAAGAAAATAGCTACACTTGGATGTCTCACTAAAATCTCAACTTCGGTGCATCAAAACCCAGCACATCACTTTTGCTACAACAAGTGTTCAATCCTCTAGACTAACAACATTCTAGTGGTTGAGAATTTCTCTCTTCAACCTTCCTTTCCATTCCATCCATCCCAAGTTCTGCTAGTTTGGGGTCTGTGAAGACTCTTCCATTACATTTTGTATAGTGACCACCTTTCCCTACACTCTGATTTCTTCAGCTATTACATACCTGGTTTCAGTCTCTAGTCTTCCCCAGCTTCTATCCATCCTCTAGGTTTGCTGACCATATCTGACCTTGTATCAGGTTTATTGCCTGTCTCCTCCCATAGAACGCAAGTTCTATCGAAAGCAGGGCTTGTCTGTTTTGTTCTCTAGTTTATTCCCAGTGCCTACAATCATGCTAAGAAGACAGAAAATCCTCAGTAGATGAATTAACAAATCCTATTTGCAATTGTGCATAGAACAGTGTCTAGTATATAGTATGGACTCAAAGTATGTATTCATAGTATGTTAAACTGATGAATAAAACCTACTCAGAGTTGTGGAAAACATCTTAATGTCACCACCCAAATCCCCTGCTTGGTAATACTGAAAAGTCCTTTCAGAATTTGTTCCACCCCATTTCACTACCCACAGTTTTTGTCTGTTTGTTTGCTTTTTCTCCACAAGTATTTTGCTTAATTTAATATGCTTCAAGGCATCACAGATCTAGAAAGTTCCCTGAAAAATTGCTGGGTTTAGCTTCTACCACTATGTTTTAGGTATATGAACTTCGTAAAGATAGAAATGACATTTCCTCCTTCATATTTCAATAGTCCTTTTTATTGTTCTATTATGCAGAGAAAACTTTGCTTTCATATACAACCCCAAATCTTTGAATTTACACCAGCATTTTCTTATCCAATCTTGAAACTAGTAACAACTCATGTTCTCGGTCTCGTATCTCCATGTCTTCTGTAATCTCTGTTCATCAAACCCTCATGGCAATATTTTTAAAAATAAATCTTGCATCAGCCCCTCAGTTTAAAAACAAAACAACAGCCAAAAAAACCCCACGAGAGCTCCCTATTTCTTCTACTGTAAAATTTGAGCACTGGCAAATGTTAATTCATGTTCCGTGACACAGAGTTTACTAAAGAATTAATTTGAATGCCTCCAATGCACTACAGTCCTCACCAATCCTTGCTGTTTTTACCCACTTGCTTAGCTCATTTCTTTGTAGCCTGTCTGACCCCTGGAGGCAATTGGTTTTCAAGTCCTACCCTATAGGAGAAAGTTTACATTTTTTACCATAGCAAACAAGAGGAGAGATGCTCAAAAAATGTTAAAATCAGCACTGGGAAACTGCCCTTAGTGCTAAAGGGATCCCTAAAGGCCTCCTGCGGAGTGTCAGCTCTTTACCTGCTCAATCACTAGCTGTGAGGAGGTTGGGGGTGGGTGCAATAAGATAGTGGAGGGGGTCTCAGGTCAATGGATATTTATCAACCAGCCTGGAACTATTTCAGTACTTTCACAACTCACAGAGCCCTACCTTCTGTCCTAACTGAATGTCCAGTTGTGTGAGCTGTCCCCACTAATCCCAACCCACAGTGGGGACTCAGCCACTGCTCACCACCCCTCCTTGTAGAGTTCCATGTACCCATCATACTAACACACTTATCATTTTCCAAAGTGACTGGCTTTTTCCTGACTTCGGTTTGCTCTGCCCAGGATGCCTTCTCTCCCTACCTTGACTGGTAAATACTCACTTATTCTTTAAAATGAAACCCCTATGTTAACTTCTCATCGGCAGTCAAAGGTGTGACCTCAGAGTGCTTTGAGTGTGCCTTTATGATATAAGGTTTGACTTGTGATAGTTATTTGCCAATCTTCCTCTTCCAATGGACTATGAGACCATATGTGCTGGGACTGTGTTTATGCTCTACAGCTCCAGGACCCACACAGGGTAGGGACACCATAGAAGTTTGCTGAATGAGTGAATGAATGAATGTATGAATGAATGAAAGTTACTAATAAAAAATTTTAAAGCCAAGTAGCCCTAATTCCTTCATTTTTCTTCATCTGTAAAGTTAACTCACTAGAAGACCTCTAACAGTTCCTTTCTGCTTTGAAACCCAAGAATTTACCAGTGTGGGCCAAAAACCTTTTAATACTGAGGCTGAATATATTCAGCACTAAGTTGCCTTTTCAAGACTGATTCTTTACTTTCGTCAGTAAGCACTGTCAGATGATCTCAGAATGACTGGAAAGAGATCAAATCCCAGTCCATGTATGAAAGGGTGTCAGCTGTTAAATTCCAAAGTACTTAAACAGAAGAGCACCTACACCTAGAATCTAAAAAATTACCTAGTTAGCAGTACTAGGAAACTTTCATTTCATATTAAAGCAGTCTGAAGCCAAAAGGGCTATGAGCTGGCAGAGTAACCATGGAGATATCTTTGCTGCTTAGGTAAATTTCAACTTAATTGGTGGAGTATGCCAAGGATAATATCAGATAGGTACCTGGTACCCTAGTTTTTGGAGGCTTTCTCACTGCTTAGAAGACAAAGTTGATTCTGGTGTGATAATAATTTTTTTAATTGAAAAAAAAAACCTATATGAGAAAAGAAAAGAGAAGACAGTCCAGGTCCCTGGATTAGAAGGAATACATATAAAGTCTGGGGTAGCTGAGAGGATCCATTATTTGAATTAAAATAGTTCATGAGATTTCATTACTATGAGAAGTATAAAACAAAACAACAAAAAACATGTGTGTGTGTGTGTGTGTGTGTGTGTTTAACATACAGGCTCCTACCACAGACATGACCAGGGCCTTCTGAAATACTCAGAATAAACTAGCAATCTAATAAAGAATTACTAACAATTGATAAATAAAGATGAAAGGAAAGCCACTGACAAATTCCTAAGGGCTACATTTCTTTAAATTTCATTTTAATTAGAATTCCATTTTAATTATAAAAGTGTTTAATTAAGGTCATTTTAAAGATAGGAAATGACTAAACAGTAAAGAGATGTGTTTATATAAGGGAAAAGCTATCAACTACCTGAGCCATGTGCTTTATCACATATTTTGATCATCCTCATCAAGTGCAAATGGAACAGAAAAGAAG